TGCGCGAGTCACTTTCACGAGGGTGTGTGGGGGGGGGAGGCAAGACTGAGTGCGCATTAGGTTTTGTGGCTGCCTAGGCTGTGAGTGCAATCATGGCATTGCGCCAGTCACTTTCACTTGTGAAACTGCTGATGGTGATATGCGCTTCCAGAGCCCAAATTTGTCAACTCCACGGTTGACAGTGCCAGTGGCATGTACATTGCAAGACACTGCAGATGCAGGAGCCGTGAAGCTTGGGCACTGTCACACAGTAATCAAGTTGAAGACGCACAGACACTTACACGTAGCTCCATGCAAATTCCTGGACCGGAGTGGCTGCGGCTCCTCCGCCTCTGAGTCTGGCTGCGTCGAAGCCTCAGCACCAGCTGCCGCAACTTCCTACCGCGGTAAGTGACCTTGTCTCCTTCACAAGAGAACTTGGTCTCGCAGAAGTCCGCTCGAAGTGCTCACGAGCAGGGTCCTTGTAGATGAGTTCTCGGGAGTCAGGTTTCGTGGCGTTTGCAGCAGCTTAGTGTGCCGTTGATGTTGATCCTGTGCGGAAGGCTCCAGCTGCGTGATAGGTGTGTTGCCAAGCCTGCTTAAGCAGCCCCCAGCTGATCAATCGCGTGTAGACAGGTGACTGGCGCCGCCGCCCCTTCAAATGGAGGACGCATGCTCCTGGGAAGGTGCAGCAGCATCAAATCAAATCAGCACAGAGCCACGCCTATGTAGCTTTCAGTTTGAACTTGAACCTGGGGGGGTGACGTTCTGAGAGAGGCAGGCAGTGTTACTGCCGGCAGCATGTCAAACGTTGGAGAAGTACTACCAGCAGGAAGGGAGGGTCATTGTTTGACTCCTGGAGACATCTAATCCGGCAACTGCACGAGAGCTTAGCTTTCTGTAGTACTCAAGGAGCACACTGTGGTACTCGGCCTTTTCTGAGTGTGGCCATAGCTTGTTGCAATACTTGAGCGGTGGACTCAAACACTCCGAGTCATTGACACGTGCTACCAGCAGTTAAGCGTCAGCGACGTTGCGGCGGGAAGGTGCAAGTCATTGGCGGCGTCCTGATCTCATGTGGTGCAGGCTTGCAATTACGCTTGTACCCTTCGCAGAGATCTCACTCCAGCCTGAGCCAGCCTGAGCCACCTGCGGCAGCGGTGTCGCATATAGCTTGTTTGAGTCCATGGAGCCAAGCCGCGAAGAGCATCTTACTTGGTGTCAGCCTCAGGGCGAGCTCATGGGCATAGACTCTGGAGGGACACACACACAGAGCGTGCACACATACTATCAGTTTGCAAGGTGTCTGCTTTGTACAACATTCGCGACACCAGCCGCCGCCGCCAACAGGCTAGCGCGCGGGTCCTGGCGCAGCTGCGCAGCCAGCATGCGTCCGGGGCAATGGCGTGGATGAGCGTGCCACCAACTGCCAATGACCGCCGCACCCGCCCGGGTGCGGCGCCCATGTCCAGTATGGCAGCAGCCACGATGATTTTGGTTGCGATCTTCATAGACGGGTGGGGCATACAGGGCGAGGTGTGCCCATGGCGGTGCAGTGACATGAGCCCCACCTCCACGCATGCAATCAGCTGCCCCAGCCAGCACATACGGGGGCACAGCGCGACACACACTGCCCAAAAGCGGTGCCTGCAGCGCATCTTGAGACAGCACCATGTCTCTATTGTCCGCAATGAGGACGCTAGCGTCTTCAAGGTACCGGGGTATTGGGCGGACACAGTCATTGACCCAGGGTGTCTGCACTTTAGCAGTGCATACCGTAACAAGGGAATAGTGCTAGACACAAGTGTGCGCGCGCCCACAGCGAGCTCGTACCTGACAGGCAAAAAAATGCCTCGATCACGGACGGCTATGCTGCTGGGGTAGGGGAGGAGGCGAAGGTCAAGCACCACACCGGCACCTTGACGTCATCTTGGGCCTTTGTGCCATGCGTGCAGAAGCCGTACGGACGGCTGGGCAAGCAGACAAGACTTTTTGTCAAGGAGTTGGCGATGCACTCAGCTCTGTGCTCAGGGGGGGGGAAGGCAGATGCCACAGTGTGTTGCGCAAGGCCGGGCTAGCTAAGCGTCAGATCTCATTGAGCCGAGCATGTCCTTGGCGCGGGAGTTGGCAGAGCGCATCATGGCGTACACACGCGGCTCGAGCTCAAATGCTGGGCTGTGTTGCAGCGCCGGTATCCAAGCTGAAGTACACACACGTGATAGGGCCAGTAACAGTCTACTTCGAAGTATATGCTTTGACTCTGAGTCATTCAAGTTGCATCATATAACAACCCCTCAGCTACTCGTACAGCTACTAGTAGCCGTGACCCTGCAGTTCATACCATTGCGCATCTGCAGGCACGCAGGAGAGCGCAGGTCGAATAACGATTTCATCAAAGGGCAACTTTCCACAGCCCCAATTTAGTGCAGACACAGCGCAGCCGTAAGGGGGGGGGGGGAGCCCTCCACTTTTGAGGACGCGGCCGGCGCGTGAAGCCACTGGCAATTGAAGTATGGCTCAGCGCTTGGCGACAGAGCAGGCGCAGCGGAGGCCCCGGGAGGTCACGGGCAGGGCGATGTGGAGGCCATTATCATGCTGTCGCACTCAGTCTGGCAGGGGGTGCAACACTAGCAGCAGCGCTGTGACAAATTGTAGAAAAAAAAGCCAACTGAGTGTGCCTTCAGCACACTCAGCACAATCACCTGGGCTTCTGGTAAAAGAGCTCGAGCCCTACGGAGCGCTGAGGATACTTTGTGTACATATGTGGGGTGTGGTGGGTAGTGTGGGTAGTAATGCCACTGTGCTCTGCTTGTCAGGGTTCGGAGGTGGTGTGTGGAGCACAGCAGGGGTTGTTTCTATTGATCGGTGTAAGTATTTGCAGGGTCACTACATACAACCTTGGTGTATTGAGCGTGCTGAAAGACTTGTTTTGTTACATTTCAAAGGCCCCTTTTGGGGGGGAACACAGCATATGGTCATGGCAAGCTCAGACAAGACTCAAACGCAATCACGGTAGTTTAAAGAGCGACAGCATACACTCATGGATTGGACAATCATAAAGGCCAAGGCACAATGTGTGTGGCTACTTGTGTTGTTCACAGCTTTAGTATACTAGCGTCAGCCGAAGCAGCATTGAGCACAGGGCCAGCCACCAGCTTCAAGCGGCTTGCAGATGCACTGGCTGGACAGCTGTCCTAGGAGGCATGCAGCCTGAGTGCCGTCCTCTGAATCAAAACGATTTCATTCCTGAAGCAGGACTTGCAATGTTATGTGAGCGTTGAGCATACCACTGCAGTGAAATGTGGTGCAGTGAGCACCTAAACACATTGATTCATGGCAATGCCACCCCTACAACATGGGTCAGGCTGCTCTCTAACATAGACATATGAACCCAGACTGTAGTGAAAATGCAGCGGTATCTCGTATATGCATATACTGTAGTAGTTCTCTGACTAGAACCCCGTGCAGATACTGGCATGCATGGCGTGGCTCACTAGGGCCAGCATTCCGGCCTTGTTAAAGTCCAATGGACTTGAAGTTACAGGGGTTATCTCAGGCTGCGAAAGCGGCGCCGCTGCGTGCTGCCCTCGTGCCCTGCACATGCCTTGCCGTGCTGCTGGTGCCTGTCATGACTGCAGCAATCATGTACTACCTTATGGAGGCTGCAGCTGACGGTTGTGCGGACTAAGTAGCTTACTACTAGTAGTACTACTAGTGGTGTGCGTAAGGCTGACAGGGTTAGGGGCACTACCCATGTGACGCGCACTTTGCGGTGCTGCAGCATGCTGATGCCTGTCAGCTGACTAGTAATCATGTACGGCCTCGAGTTAATTATAGGTGCTGCGAATGACGTTCGTGCTTAGCTCAGCCTGAATGGGCGTACCGTACAGTTGAGAGCGCCGCCACTGCCGCTGCCGGCACTGACAGCGCTCATTCTTTTAAGTGCAGATGGCTCTCACTCAGGCTGACAAGTGCGCTGATCATGGCTGCTAGTAGTCCAGTGGCCCCATACGCGCTGCCGCCGCACGAGCACTTCAGGTTTTTGGGGCTGGAGGCGCTGCCGCTCAGAGTCACACAATGCCGCAGCGGCTGAAGTGCCCGCCGCTGCCATGTGCGTCCTCAGGCTGGTCGACGGTCGTGCACGGTGCCGCAGCTGCAGCTTCCAAACCACGGTGCCGCAAAGTGGTCGCTGGCTGACACCAGTGGTGACCATCTCGAATGGCACAGGTGAAGCCAAGGCCATCACACAATGTCATGCGCCCAGTCAGTGTACTACAATGAACTCACAACTCAGACGTAAACCGTCATTGTGATCATGATGCTACTAGCTGCAAGGGGGGGGGGGGGGGGGGGGTGAGTCAGACATGCACTAGTCAGCTGAGTCTTTGTCATCGTGCCTGCCAGATGTCTGGGATGGTAACCGGTAGGTCTTGAATCCAGATGATTGAACAGCATGAAAATGATTGCAACCAGCACCATACTAGTCGGCTTAGTCTCACTGCCCTGGCACTGCACTAGTCGGCTGAGTATCCGTTGTGGTGTCTGCCAGATCATCATAATGCTGGCGATGGTCACCTGCAGGCCTTGAATCCATGTAGATGTTTGAACATCAGGAAAATGATTACAAACAGGATCATTAGGTCTCGTGGCAGAGTGGTCTAATGCGTTTCAGCTGGACCCAAAGAACACATTATTCAATTCAGATTGATGTCACACACTTGCAGCAGACTGCCAGTGCTGTAGCATAGCAGCTGGCGGTGTCACTCAAAACTGCAATGCAAATCTCTCAAGATCCAGGTGGTGCTGCCAGTAGCCTAGCATATATACGCTTCAGTAATTCAGAATGATGGAACTGTGTGTGCATGTGGCGCCACACCACGAGACAGGATGTAAGAAAACATGAAAACCTCCTGATGCTCAATTGAGCTAAATCATGTGCCGCAAGCAATGCAATTGTCGCTGAGATGAAGGATTGGCCTACTAGATGCTACAGAACACCACAATGACAGTCAAAATAATTAGGTCTCGTGGCAGAGTGGTCTAATGCGTTGGATTCAAGACCCAATATCGAAAGATGCGTGGGTTCGAACCCCACCGAGATCAAGTTTTTTCAAATTTCCGGTCGCACCCTTGATGTTGTCTGGTTTTGTGTGCATGCATCACTTGCTGTGTTTTTTATTTTTTGATAAAAAAAAGGCCTTGGTTGAAACAGTCCAGCGCATCTTGAGACAGCACCATGTCTCTATTGTCCGCAATGAGGATGCTAGCGTCTTCAAGGTAACGGGGTATCGGGCGGACACAGTCATTGACCCAGGGTGTCTGCACTTTAGCAGTGCATGCCGTAACAAGGGAATAGTGCTAGACACAAGCGTGCGCGCGTCCACAGCGAGCTCGTACCTGACAGGCAAAAAAATGCCTCGATCACGGACGGCTATGCTGCTGGGGTGGGGGAGGACGCGAAGGTCAAGCACCACACCGGCACCTTGACGTCATCTTGGGCCTTTGTGCCATGCGTGCAGAAGTCGTACGGACGGCTGGGCAAGCAGACAAGACTTTTTGTCAAGGAGTTGGCAATGCATTCAGCACTGTGCTCAGGGGGGGGAAGACAGATGTGTTACGCAAGGCCGAGTTAGCTAAGCGTCAGATCCTCATTGAGCTGAGCATGTCGCTGGCGCGGGAGTTGGCGGAAAGCGTCATGGCGTACACACGCGGAGCGCGAATGCTGGGCTGTGTTGCAGCGCCGGTATCCAAGCTCCTAGGGCACAGCGCAGACTAGGCTGCTGCGTTGACGCAAGCTTTTCGATTGCATAGGCAACCCGGCCTCCCTTGGGCCTTTATAAATACCAGTCCATACGTCCAATGTGCATCACCACCACACCACGCACCACCGCGCGCTGCGCGTGCGCTAACCCTAATGTCAAGTAAAAAAAGGGATGTGCGTTTTTTGGCAGCGCAGCGAGAGATAAATGCAGCTGCACTAGTGTTTTGGACCCAAGAATGGGGCAACCGGTTTTAGGAGGGTCTCCCGCAGGAGTAAGGTGCTAGGTGCATCCTCATACTTTCTGCGGCCATGCACGGCAACGTTAGGCATACAGCTTCGAGATAAATACAACAAAATACTGTTACAGTAGTATAACAAAAAACCACGCACCACCGCGCGCGCTGCGCGCGTGCGCGTGCGCGCTAACCCTAACCTCAAGTAAAAAAGCGCTACGCGTGCGTTAACCCTGACACCGTCAGATAATATTAGACGGTCAAAGATGGCCTCCTGTTCAATGAGTGTATCGCCAAGCTGGTGGCTGGCCCTGTGCTCAATGCTGCTTTGGCTGACACTAGTAATACTATGCTATAGCTGTGCATGCCACAAGTAGCTACATGTGCACACACTGGGCCTCGGCCATCGTCTAACCCTCAAGTATATGCTGTTGCTCAGCTGTACGAACTGCCATGATTGCGTTTGAGTATTGTCTGAGCTTGCGGCGACCATATGCTGTGTTATCCCAGAAATGGGCCTTAAAGGCGTCACACAAAACGCCTTGCAGCCACCACAATACATCAAGGCTGTAGGAGCCCTGCATGCACTTCCACACACCGATCAATCGAAACAACCCCTACTGTCCGCCACCCACCACTTGCGTACCCTGACAAACACAGCATAGTGGCAATGCCACACTACCCACCACACACAACATATGTACCACCTGCAGAATGCGCTTATGCACAAGCTGGGGACGGCATGAGTTTGCTGCCGTCCTCACACGGTGGCTTCAGACCGTTATGCGGGAGCCTCAGGCTAGCAGTGCGCGGCTGCCGGATGCCTCCTGGCAGTTGCATCATGATGGCGCGGGGCGCCTGACGCCACTTGCAGAACAGCAGGAAGATGGTACAGCCGCTGAGCCGCGGCCCATCGTTTGCGGCGAGGCGCTGCAGCGACTATGCACTAGACTAAGTGAAGCTTCAGTGTACGTGGCAGACCGCAAAGACTTCCTGGCGGAGCTCATTGAGCCAGATGGTCAGTATGGGGTAGCTGTCTCCGAGTCAGCAGGAGCGGAGAAAGCGGCCATGGCCGGCAAACTCGCGTATGAGCTGTTGTGAGGCGACCCTAGGGTTAGAGGGGGCTATTTAGCCATATTCTGCCACACTGGCTTCATGCCGTATTCTGCCATTGCAGATGCTTCATGCTAATCACTACGACACCTGCAAAACCATGCTATAAGCCTTAGCGCCTTGCTCTGCTTGTACTTGCCAACCATGGTGGCCTACCTGGGTTATTATGGGAGTTAGGGGCACACCCTTTCTCACGGCACACGGGTCATTGCTGGGTCGAGGTAGGAGCGGGTGAGGTAGTCAACAGCGGCTGGTAGTAGCTACACACACGACACACACACACAGGAGACTGGCGCACCCCAGTTCCACATTGGCACTCGAAGCAGGACAGGTGCTAGAGCCTGTTCCAGCTTCCGCCTGTACGAGCAGGGGCGGAGGAGCGTCCGAGGTTTTCGGCTTATCTTGGAAAGCAGATTCCGCTTTGCCACAGCTCGCTGGATGAGGACCTTGTGCTGGTAAAGCGCAGTTGCCTCGCTCATCGAGCTTCCATAGTCGGCCTGGAGCTCTCCTGGTTGGCTCAGCTTCTCGTGGAGCTTCGCATTTTCAAAACAAGGGGCGTGCTTCTTCAAGTTCCCTTGCTCACAGCAGCACGAAGGAGTTCGGCTTCCCTCTGGCGGTCGCTGCTTTTCATTAGGAGTAGAGCCTTGCCGCTCATCTCTTGTTAGCAGCAGGTCGTCCTGCTCTCTTCGTTACCTACAGCAGCAGCACAACAGCAACAGCACTGCTAACTCAGTGGCAGCATGGACGCCACCACCCTCAAGCTGCGCTCGAGAATGGAGGCGGGGGGGGAGAGTCTACCCTACCACTGTCACCTCCACGGCATGTTTCAACACAAGCGGCACGAGCATGTCGCTAAGCGTGCTCTGATCGAGTCACAACTTTGGGCGTGGGGAGAGCCGATGCTCGACGTACTGGATCTGGCCGGCTGCAGTGGCGTTTCTGTTACGGAGGTGCTGGGCATGCACGACTTCGAGCTGCACAGCAAGTGGCGCGAGGCAGCCACAGCTTTCAGGGAGACAAAGTATAGAGCAATACGGCTCGAGGCAGCTCTGGAAGCAGCATATAGCAAAAAAAAGCTGCTTCAGGCGCGGATTGCAGAGTTGGAGAGCAAGCTTCAGCAGGTTCAGCAGCTGCCGCAGCGGGAGTTGGCGACGGTTTCAACGCAGGTTGAGCTGGCTCCGGTGTGCTCAGCGTCCACGCAGGTCGAGCTTGCGCCGGTTTGCTCGGTGTCGACGCAGGTACAGCTGCATGAGGCGCTCACCGCAGCACCAGCGGCGGCGCCTTCATCTACGCGCGCTGGCGACAAGGGCGCGCGCGGCGGCGGCGACATGTCAGCTGCACTCCCAGCGCCAGAAGCAGCGGCGCATCCATCTATGTGCGCATGCGACAGGCGCGTGCACGGCAGCGGCGACATGTCAGCCGCGGTTTCAGCGCCGACAGCAGCGGCGTTTCCATCTGTGCGCGTTTGCGACATGCGCGCACACGGCAGCAGCGGCAGCTCAGCCGCGCTTTCAACGCCAGCAGCAGCAGCGCTTTCATCTACGTGCGCTGGCGACGGGGGCGCGCAGGACAGCAGCACTGCAGCTGCGCTCTCGGCACCAGCAGCGGCGGCAGTTTCAGCAGTGCGCGTGCGCGATGGGGGCGCGCACGACAGCCGTCGCACTTTAGCTGTGCGCACCACGCGCGCTTGCAGGAAGGACGCGCACGGCAACGGCGGCATGTCAGCAGCTGCGCTTTCGGCGGCAGAAGCAGCGGCACCTTCATCTGCGCGCGCTTGCGGCAGGGGCGCGCATAGCGGTGACATGCCAGCGCGTTCAGCTACAAGCGCTTGCGGCAAGGGCGTGCATGACATCGGTGACGTGTCAGCTGCGCTTTCAGCGCCAGCAGCAGCGGCACTTCCATCTGTGCGCGCTTGCAACAGGGGCGCGCACGACAGCAGCGGCGATTCAGCCGCATGTTCAGCGCCAGCAGCGGCGGCGCTTCCATTCAGGCGCGCGCGCGATGGAGGCGCGCACACCCGTTTCACTTCGGCTGCGCGCACTGCGCGGTCTACAGCGCTTACATCAGCACGCAGCGGCAGTAGCGACGCATGCTACAAGGGCGGCGGAGCTGGTGCGGCGAGCTCGGCGACTGCGGCGGCAGCGGCGCCTGCGCGACCGCGCGCCGGCATTAGCGCTGCACGGCGCAGCATGCGCGCCGCAGGCCGCAGCTTTGGGCGACCGCTCTCTCGCCGGCAGCAGAAGAGGCGGGGTTACTGGGCGGCGCACACGCCCAAGGAGCAGCAGCGCCTCCGCGACTGGCAGGCGCGGCATAAGGCGCTGCACAGGCGGCGCTCAAGCAAGGAGAGGCGTGGCGATGGTGCGCAGCCGCCGGACGCAGCGGAGATGCGCGGTGGTGCTTACACTAGCACAGCACTGTCTCCCACCAGCAATCAAGCTGTGCTTAGCGCATATTGCGCTGACATTTGTGAGACACAGACGGCAGCAGCTCCCTTATGCGCCATGTGTCTCACCAGCGCAGCTTGAGTAGCTTCGCTCATGGGGGCGCTTTCAGCTGTGTCTATTGCACATGGCAGCGCTCAGCCCATTGTTGTATTGGGCTGTGCACAGTAGCGTGTTTGCAGGTTCATTGTTGGGCCTGACGCTTTAGACACCACACTGCTTGGATAGCATCAGCAGTGTAGTGTCTGGGGGCGAATGTCGTACAGGTACCGAGATGCGTTGCATCGACAACACCTGGGCGCACAAACCCACCCGCCCACCCTATTGCAATGTCATGCGCAATTTTTCAGCACGTGTGACACAAGCGCTGGGGGGGGGGAGACAAATTGCGCAGTGCCATCATGTCGGGGGCGCATACAACGGAGATGCTGCGCAGCACCATGATGTTGGGGGCGCATACATATGTACTGTAGCGGTAGCTGCATAGCGCCATCATGTCGGGTGTGCAGCCAGCACGTATTCAAGTTCTTTGCAGCCACAGTGTAGCTGATAGAT